ACACATACACATTCACCAGCATACAAACACACAACACACCAGCACACACATACACATTCACCAGCATACACACACATACACACACTTGCCAGAAGAGACGCACAAAAACACACCACAGCATACAAACACATACCAGCATACACATACACATTTACCAGCGTACAAACACACACAAACACACACACACACACCAGCATACACATACACATTCACCAGCATGCAAACACACACACACACACACACACACACACACACACACACACACACACACACACGCACGCACGCACACACACACACACACACCAGCATACATTTACATTCGTCAAAAAACACACCTCAACATACAGTCATACACACATATTTGCAGATACACAGACACACATTCACCAGCATATAAACACACAACAGCTTACATTCATACATACACATTCACCAGCAAACACACACATACACACACTTGCCAGAAGAGACGCACAAAAACACACCACAGCATACAAACACATACCAGCATACACATACACATTTACCAGCGTACAAACACACACAAACACACACACACACACCAGCATACACATACACATTCACACATGCACGCAAGCACACACACAGACACAGACACAGACACTAACACACGCAAACACACACACCAGCATACATTCACATTCTTCAAAAACACACCTCAACAAACAGTCATACACACATATTTGCAGACACACAGACACACACACCAGCATGCACATTCACATAGTAACACACAGACACACAAACACATTCATCAGCATACAAACACACAACAGCTTACATTCATACTTACACATTCACCAACAAACACACACGCACACACACTTGCCAGAAGAGACGCACAAAAACACACCACAGCATACAAACACATACCAGCATACACCTTCACCAGCATACAAACACACACACACACACACACACACACACACACACACGTTAATATATCCTAGTGGGGACTCCTATATACATGATCCTTCTACTGTACAGGCTGCATATTCTCCTGTCTCCAGCTAAACTCAACCCTCACAGCAACAATCTGCTCTTTTACATCTTCACAATACTTCATTCTGTCTGATTTATACACACCTGCTGTGGATACTTCAATTTTGGTCGCCACAGTGACAGAAGTCCCCATGAGTCTGTGTGAATGCAGGTTTGAGTCCCCTCTGGGATATAAAAACAAGTATAGATTCTCCAGCAAACATCCTTCCCTCCCTCCCTCCCACACACACACACACACACACACACACACACACACACACACACACACTAAGCAGCGTACAGTCATACAAACAGTCCGTCACTTTCATTTTTTGCACTCGGCTGATGCAACCTCTCTTTTCTTTAGAGATTTGGCTGTAATGAATATTACTGGAATGCCCCTAAAGAGAGACGTGATCTAAGTGTGCACAGAATGTTCAGACACACGCCTCTGTCCGATCAAGCAGGGTGTGATTCTAAACTACAGAAAGAGATGAAGATTTATCGCTCATTTTCCCGCCCTTTTCTTTAGTCGAACATTAAAGGGGAGCTATTATGCAGAAATCGCTTTTATAAGGGGTTTAGACCCAGTTGTGTGGGAGGAGTGTGTGAATATAACCAGCTTCTAATAGTGACTATTTATTTATTTCAATTTGTTATACTCACACTTGATAATAACAGTCTGCAGAAACACTTTGAGTGACATTCTTCCTTTGTACGTGTCATCAGAGGGGAAAGCCCCGCCCACTAGTGATGATCTCATTGAGGCGCTGGCATTTGTAGCTCCACCCTTCTTTGAAATCCCAATCCAAACACAGAAGCAGATGCTCAGACTTTGATTGAAGATTACCAAAACATTTAAGGTGATTAACTAGCACTGACTGTTTACTTTAACATTAAAAATGTGAGCTAGCTAAATTAACACTACATTTTTATTTTACGCCCCTTTTTACAAGATGCAAAATAAGTCTGTCCCTAGAGAGTGTGTGTGAAGTTTCAGCTCAAAATACAACACAGATAATGTTTTCCATCTCTTTGAAACTGACCCCTTTAGGTTTTGATCCTAATTGTGGCGTTTTGGTGACGGTCACTTTAAATTCAAATGAGATTGTGCTCTTTTTAATAGAGGGCGGAGCTACAAATGTCCATGTGTTAGCCAAGCGGCAACATCCCACTCTCCCTCATGAAGCTAAAGCCTAGTTCACACTAAAGGATTTTAAGCCTGATTTGAGCCCGATTTGGAAGTTAACGAGCTCGCCGACAGATCGGGCTGTGATCGGGAAGAAATCAGCGGGTGCTCAGCGCTCGCCGCTCTTTATGTGTGAACTACTGAACAACGCATCAACTAGGCTCGCTGACGCGTCCCGACACCTCGCAGACGGAAATCCAACATTCAGCATGCTAAATATTCCAGAGCAGTCGGCCGAGTCAACCCCACGTGTGGTCAGATGTAGTGACGAGCTGCAGCCAATGAGAGAGCATATCAGCATGAGCCGCGTGCCTGTGTGTTCAGGAGCTCAGCAGAAACATCTGTGATTGGTCAGAATGGGCATCGGTGCACTCGCTTCATTCTGCGTTAGCACAGACATGAGAGGAGGATATATTAACAGTGGAGCTAGAATTCTGTAACTATTAGAATTACCATACTGCTCATTCTGACCGTTCTTATATAAAACGCCATATTGTCACAACATATTTACATTCAGAGCTATTATTGAGATATTAAAATTAAGCTTTGAATGTCTGGCATCATATTTAATGACACTTTTACCCTAAAAATATATATATAAATATCTTTTTTTTGGTAATGCAGCCTATAAATATGTAGTTAAGATACTAAAACACTTAAAGGTCTTGTCTTTCATTTTCACTTTCAAACAGGAGCTATTCGGCACAGAATCTGCTGTTTTGAAAGATATCTGAAGTAAATTGAT